GTCGTCGCGACAACCCGCAGCATCGAGACGTTGTGGTGGAAGAAGCGCTCAAAGACATAGGCCTACAGTGTCGAGATCAGCGAAGGGTGAAAAAACACTTGCATTGTACGCGAAGGCAGTGGGTCGCGCGACGCTGCTGGCGCGCTGAGCCGCCGACCCAGCGGTAGTGCCACCCGAGCGACGACGTGGCCTTGGGGCTGAATTCGTTGACGCGCACCGAAGTTTTCTATTTCAAGGGCGCATGAGCCATGGCTACGTCAAAGCCAATGGCGTACGTCGTCAAAGACATCGTACTGACTCGCAATCCACTCGCCGATTGCGTGCGTCTGTCGACGGAGGTTGGACAAAATTGTCTGCTCGCTGAGCGTGTCGCCGACCTGGAACGGCCGCTCGTACGACGCCTCGAAGCGAAGGTACGTCATGGACTGCTGGACGCGGTCCGCAGGGCCGTGCACGCGGGCGACGACGGACGTGCCGCAGACACTGTTGAAGACATGCGATGGGCAGCAGTGGGGAAAGCATCTACAACAGTCGACGTTGGAGGCGCCAGGCGCAGTCTCGCAGCGTACCGCAGGACCTAATGCAATGGCTGAGACGACGATGCAAACACGACGCTGTGTTGTACCTTGGTGCCGCCGGACCGATGCGTTCTGAAGCCATGGTGCAGCAATGAGAAGGCCATTGGGGAAGACGGTCATGCTTACCGGAGGTACTTGGCTTCAAAGATGCTGTCGCATTTGCAGTATTGCGAGAACTCGACCGAGATGGCGCTCGTCACCATCGTTTTGGTGTGTGGTGATGTCCGTGGCCGACGGGGGCGGCAGCGGATTCGACACTGAGCTTGACGTGCATGTCACAGCTGGGCAGATGCCGATGGTAGCTTCGATATCGAAATGCATTTGTCACAGGTTTCAGCTTTGACGGGGAAAAGACCTTGCACGGTCAAAGTATACTCAATTGCAGAAGTACGACCCCGACGTCGAACAACATAGCAGAGTGCATATTTCGAAGGCAATTCATTCTCAAGAATATAGAAAAAGACAGGTCCACGCGGTCCTTGTAGCTATGCACGGCTTACCTAAACAGAGACCATCTGCCGCAGTGCTGCGCTGGCGAAAGCCCCAAAGCCAATGGTTCCTGCCGGAGTAATTCGGTACCAGCCGCAGGCCTTTACCAACGACTCTTGAAGTTCGTATGGCGCCAGGGACATGGCGTCGCGAGAGTGGGACAGCGCCACCGCCCGGGTTCGTACGGTTGCGTGTCCGATGAGAGTTGGAGCATGTTTTTGCGCGACTGCGACACCAGAATGATTCCAACTGCAATCGCATCACGCACCGAGGGCCACACATTTCTGCATGTGTAGGCTGGAACACGTCGGACAGACGACAGCGCGACCGAAAGCCCTGGATACGATTACCACACTTGGTGACTGGACTCTTGGGTGGCATCGCTGAATCTTGGGTACTGGTATGCTCCAGAGGCATGTCGCGGCCGTACAAGGAGACCGAGGTGTGTGACGTTATCCTTCTTCAAGGCCTGCATCATCGACATACCAACACTGGTCCCCTCCCGGCAAGTGTGTGCACCAGGTCCTTACTATCGTTTTGCGCTTGGACGTACAATGCAGAGGCGAACAGCCAAGATGACTACGGTGGGACTCCGCACCAGAAGTAGCCAACCACGTGTATGCACCGGCGCCTGTTGCGTGATGATGCCACCTCTACACTGTGGTCGTACTAGTACACGTTGAAGGCGAAGTGAGCGTGGCACCGAAAGGTATGGCTTGTCTATGAGATTGTGCGTGGAATCTCTCAAGTGCAGTCTTGTGAAAAAGACGTGGTTGGCCTTATTCCCCCTTCTCTACCGCTGCGCCTCGCAGAAACACAAGCCCAACTAACAGTTCGAAGCTCGTTGCGGTAATACTTGTTTGCTTGCTCAGAGCTGACTAGGTACCAGTACTGTAGAGTAGCAGTGGTACTGTACGTACTGTAGGGCATCAATTATACCGGTACCGATAGGCAGTGAGTGACTTTTGGGAGCAATGATCAACGCGTCACACGCATGGTAAGCAAGCATCAGCACCAATACGACGGGAGTGCTCGCCGCGCTTCGAAAACACGGTGCCTTTTGACACGTCTACGTGAGCAGGTCTGGAAAGGACGCAATGGTCGTGGTCTCGAAATGGTCTCGACAGTCTTGATTGAGCTTATCAGGTCAGGACTCGTATCAGATACGACTGAACCAGAATCGTTTTTCTCGGGCGGTGTTGAGTAACCGCGCCAGAACCATGCATGCGGGGCGCCTCTACGTCCACAGTATCAGCACTGGACGAGTGCAGAAATGCCAAGCATACAAATTGTAGAAGCAGAAGTCAGAACGAAAGGATATTCAATGTGCAACCCACTGGCCCCAACACCCACAAAGCCTCGTCGTCGCAAATCTTGTGTCCATTTGTTCGATGGGCCGTCTCATCACAACTTCAACTCATCTGGTCTAGTCCACAGCAGGTGGTCTGGACCTTCAACGCATTGAAGTCCAGGCCCGCGACGTGGCGAGGACAGACGACAGATAATCGCGGGAAGAAGAGCAATCTACTCTCCATTGAATGAAACAGGTAGCACACCCTGTAGCATACCCTGGGTTTTTCTTGTTGAACATCGATGCAGGAATGTTTTGGCACCTACTCGATACAGTGTACATACCGGTAAGCAAATATGTACAGTATGGTTGGGAGTGAAATGCAGTGTATTACGGTACCACTTTCGTGCTGCAGGGCAAAGTACGACTCAAACGTTTGCCTTAAACCAACGCAACACAATGTCTCGTGTCCACAAATAAAGATAGACTCAATACGATCATCCATTTGACGAAGCGAGTTGCTCAACGTACGCGACCGCGTACGTCGAGGCAAAAGCGATGGAGCATTCGCAGCCATGTACGCCTCTCAGCTGCCCAAGGCGACGCATTTTTCTCCCGCTTTTCATTGAAGCCATTATTCAACGCGCCAATCGGGTGCATCGTAGACCCCGCGTCACGTTGCGTGTTCGTGGTGCGTCGCCGATTATTGACAAAAATCGCGCTGCTTCGAACCCAGAGCTGCAGCTCAGAGCTGCTGCTCTTCGGACCGTGTCACGCTTCTTTCTTCACTGTGGTGAAAACGCGCCGACCCGGAAGACGAGGAAGAAGACACGTAAAGGCGAACGGATACCAGTTCTTTCTCAACGTACACCCTCTCCGTTTTCTACCGGTATCTTGAACTGTCGAGAAAAATGCGCCTTCGTCCCTCCGGTTCCAACCCTGTCGTGTAGAGCTGGATGCTGCACGCCACCCCAGCTCAGGGTTATTCGCGCTTTCAACTACTCTCTATTCATTAAACAAACCAGCGGCGCAACACTATTGTTGCAGTGTGCATCTGCGCATTGAGAGTCCGAATAACGCTTGACAATGTCGGTTGGAGGCGCGCTCGCACGTCGACTGGCAAGGACATCAGAGAGCTCGTGTTGCAGCCGCGTTTGGAGCCCTGTCGGTCGCTTTTTCTGATGTGTACGAGACCAAATGCATGAATATGAATATGTCTTTGGCAAAACCAAACGCTTTGACTTGGTGCAGCTCTCTCGTGTGCGGCCGCACGCGAGCCTAGGGCAATATGTTTTACTAACGTTAGTACACTTGTATCTGCCGCCCTGTGCTCAAGTTGCCTCGTATCCGTAATTGCAGTTCCCCCGTTATCCGTACATGGACGGGGAGCTGTCCATTTTGCGATCCCCGCCGAAGCAACATGACGCCAGAGACCGCAGCCTACGCAACCAAGGCTAGTGACTTGCTCACAGACATTGAGCGCGGCCAGCGCATCTTGGCAGGCGGCTCGCTCGTCTCGACGGCGCCCGGCATGGTGCACGCGACGCTCGTCTGGAAGCAGCGTGACCTCATCAATGGCACGAACGTTGTGACGCAGGCACAGCACATCGTCCATGGCGACACGGTCTTCCGCGGTCTTCCCACGAGCTACGACGCCAAGGCTGTGAGTGTATCGCCTTCGCAGAAGCTTCGCCTCGTCGTGACGGACGCCGAAGACAAGACGTACCGCTTCAGCTTCTTTGACGCGCACCACTTGGTG